CACACACACACACACACACACACACACACACACACACACACACACACACACACACACACAACAGCGTGGCTGATGGTCACTGGACAGCCTGGCCTCGGTGCCACCTGCCACTGCTCTGCACCCATCCTCTCTGCAGGCACTACCGGCTCGCTGTTTTTCTCTTTCTGCTTTCTTTTTCTATCTAAATCATTTCATTTTTTTCTCTCCTGACTCGCTCTTTCAGTTTATTTGTTCCCATTATACCATTTTTATGTTTATCCCACCATCATCTTATCTCTCCTAAACATTCCTCCCTTCCGTATTCTTTCAAACATTTATTTTCTCCTCTGTATTTTCCTCCTTTCCTCTAACCTTCCCTCYGTTTCCTCCCATCATCTGCAGGCTGCTGTTGCCTTTTAACAGCGTTTTCTGCCAAGGCCACGCCAGCCGCTCAGGACACTCTCACACCCCTGTTGCCAGCAGCCGAGGTGTTTGAGACGGGCACAGATGTGGCGGCAGTACCCCGCAGCGCCGGAGGCTGCGGGACGCGAGCGTGTGTGTAATCTGTGTGTGCGCGCGTCCGTCGCTGCCTCCTCCTATGATCTGTGTTTAAGCGTGTTTGTCTGTCAGCTGGCCAGCGCTTTACGMGACGGCTTCATGGCGAGCTGTCGCGCGTTTAAAAAAAAATTAGCTGTATTTTTCAGCCAGCTGTGGAGAATCACGTGAATGTAGCGACACGTTCACTTTGACCTGTGTGAGAGGAGTCTCTGTTGTGAACCGTTCTGCTACAGTGTGTGTGTGTGTGTGTGTGCCTGTGCCTGCATGAGAGAGTTTATAGTTTTTATTTTATCTGTCCTCAGATGCAGACTAGATGTTTGACAGCTGTTGACTTGGCTGAGCATGTAACCATTAAAATTCAATTTTGATCATTATGAGCCAAGGACACTTCTGTTTTTAATTTATATGTGGAAATTATTTTTCCTACAGTTTCACTGATGGGGGGTTTTACGTGTTAATATGCTCTWCTTTTCAGAAGCATATTATTATTGGGTGTTATATAGGCACATATAGGTTTTATGATCTAATAAGGATGATCATAAATTTCCACCGTGATCAGTTTAAAATGAGTGCAATCATTTAGAAACATGTTAGTCCAATAAGAGATGCAAATATTATTAATCATTAATAACATTATTGTTTTGTGAAGGATGGCTCATTTGGTAGAGCTGTTTGTCTCTCAGCAAGAAGGTTGCTGGATCTGGGTAGGGTTTGCATGTTCTCTCCGTGCATGCGTGGGTTTTCTCTTGGTGCTCTGGTTTCCTCCCACAGACCCAAAACATGACTGTTTGGTTAATTGGTAACTCTAAATTTTCTGTAGGTGTGAGTGAGAGAGTGGATGGTTGTTTGTCTTGTTTGTCTCTATGCGGCCCTGTGATGGACCTGTCCAGTCCCCCCCCCCCCCCCCCCCCCCCCCCCCCCCCCACTGACCCTGAAAGGAAGAAGCGGATAAAAGAAAATCAATGGATGGATGCTTTTTTGAAAGGGACCGCAGATAAGTGCCTGCGACATCAATTTTTGTGTGATAAATGTGATTGCACTTTTGGAAAGATAACACTGATAATMTGTTGCAAAAGCAATTTCCTACCACTGAGATGAACAGTTGTTGAGATATTTTCATGTGAAGTAACAGAAGGTGATGTCAAAAGGGAATGTCTGCAGGTAAACTGAGCATTGCTACAACAGYTAGCAACACTAGCTATGTTTACATTCGCAAAACTTTTTGATCGGATTGAAATGTATTTGGATTAAATAATCGGAATGTATTGTTCACATGGGCACAATATGATCATGATGAGTGTTTACACGCACCAGGCTTTTATTCAGAATAGAAGCGCTGACGTGCGCAGTTGCTAACTTTCCCTAAAAAAAAAAAAAAACAGAAAAAAGTTCTACTTTCGTCATGAAGATAAACAAGCAGCTTCTGATCTCAGAATGGACCTGCGACAGGTTTTACTAATGGTGGAGACGTTACTGCACTCTCTGGTTCAGCTGCTGGTGACGCGCTGACTTTTTTTTTGTGAAGCGGCGCAGGCTGTGTCTTCCTTCATTATTGAATGAGAAAACGGGAGGAAAAGTTCTGTGCTGCTGAAAACTACAGCGCTGCTGTCCCTCCCTCCACAAAAGAGCAGAAACCGGTGGATGAAAATCAGCAGACATGCGCAGTCAGGTCCACAATCAGAATAAAATGATTGGATGAAGTGTTTACATGCACGTCGTTCGGATTATCAAGCGGCATAAACCACCCCTCTCATTCCGATTACAAAGTCATTCGGATCGAGCTGAATCGGGTCAGAATAATCCGTATGGGGTGTTTACATGATTAATTTTTTATTCCGAATGACCGTTTAATCCGATTACTTGTGTCCATGTAAACGTAGCTAGTGACAGAAGGGAATTTTCTGATGTCTCTTTAGATAATTTTAGTCCCAATAAGAGAGATGAAGAAAAGTCAGAGTTCAAGTAATATTGTTTTAATAAACAAAGACCAGGGAGTTTTCTTTCTTAAAGAGTTCCCCTTTGATGTCACTTCCTGTTTCACTTTAGCAGAGCCAAATTTAAAGGAAAATATGCCAGTTAAATCATGTGTTAATGCCAATTATCTTAAATACAGTGGTTTGCAAAAGTATTCATACCCCTTGAACTTTTCCATATTTTGTCACATTACAACCACAAACATAAATATATTTCACTGGAATTTAATG